CAACAGATTAAAGCCCCAGAAAACTTCATTTAAATTAAACAAAACAGAGCCGTATCTACCAGCCTCCCATCAGTGGTTAAGTCTTATTGTTTTGGACATGTGTAAATAATGCCCCTAAATTGTTTGCAACCTAAAGAAAAACTTGGTTTTAGTTTAGAAGAACTAAAGCTCCCAGCACACTTCATTCACCCTCCAGAGGCCATAGAGAATTTAGGGAAAGGAAGCCAGCCACACTTGTGCACAAATACTAAGCGAGTTTGTGTTATCCATGGCAAACTATTTCTGATCAATTCTTTGTTAATTCCAGAAAAACTGAAAAATGAACAAATCCAGAAGCTGACACTGGAAAAAGCCCTCAGTCACCTGCACAGTAAGTAGCACTGATGCGGGGGGGGGGAGGGCTGAAGGTCAGGCCCTGCTCTCACTGACACCAGTGCAGCAACTGCATCCTGGTGCACTTGATGCTGCTGCCCAGCCCTATCCATGCAACAAGGCAGCCCTGTTGGGGTCTGCTGGAAGAACATTAGGCTTTTCCATTCAGAATAACACCTTCATGCTGGTTATTTGGAGATTAACTCTTCTAACAAGAAGACCAGCATCTGGAGACCCAAGTCCAGTTGCATACCTTTGGGTGCAGGCATGCAATCCCACTACTTTCAGCACAATTTTCTGGGCGCAGTTTTCCTGGGAAGTGAAATGAATCAAGTCACTAGTCACGGGGAACCTGCTCATAGCTAGTTATGAAGCCTTAGTTTCCATCTAGCTACCACTGAAAGGCCACATCCGAGGAGTGTTGAGGTAGGAGAAAGTGCAGTTTAGAAGAGGAAGAGGCAATGCCTCTGATTAAATGGATGTGCTATATCTTGGGCAATAATAGTGTCCTGTTCTGTTCACAGACCTGCTGCAAACCCAGTCTGAGGAGCAGAGCGCTCAGGCAGAGCTGATACGAAGAAAAGGTCAGCAAAATGTGTAACGCAGATGCTAGAAGCCTGTTTCGCTTCTAATATAATGAGGAGGTTAAGTGGTAACTTCATGTGCAGCCTTCATCAGCAGAGGATAAGGAAATGTCACCTGTTCACAACAGGCTATATTCCTAGCTGATGTAAACTTTAGTTCCGTTATATATATATATAAATACAATAAATTAAATTGATACAATAAATTAAGTTGATTTCAAACTCTGTTTCAGTGGCAATGCCAATATTTTTTTTGCCTACTAGGATTTATTTCTATTTTCCTTGGAGTTCAGGACTAGTTGCAATTAAACAACCACATTTGGGAATTTGGACCTTTCCCTCCTCAAAAAAAAGCTTTCATTGCCCAATTTCTGTTTAACACTTTCAGTTATATATGTTTTTAAATATTATCAATTCCCCCCCATGACAGAGCCCTCTGAAAATTAAATCATCTCCCACTCTTGTACCCAGTTGCTTAGCATCCAAATACATTAAAAAAAACCCATGCAGAGTTAAGAATCAATTTGTAGAGCAATAAAGATGCAGACTAAAAGCCTGGACTTGTTTCTCATTGGAAGTCTGGCTATTTTTTAGATCAAATTTTAACTATGCAGCAGCCCCCCAGCCCGGTCAAAGAAATACAAAACACTCTGTTCAAGCAGCCGCAAGATGAGGAAAAGGAAAATCTGATGGACCAGTTGCAAAAAAGGACATCTGTGCTCAAAGCAAAGGAAAAAGAGGTGAGCAGGTGACTAAGTCTGTTGATGAGATTAAATGATCTTGTTAGAAGATTAGCTGCTATTTTAAAATGCTTTCAAAGGCAGAAATGAAAATGTTGCACAATGATTTTTAGAAGCATCCATCCTAATGGCACTGAGCTGTCTGATTCGGGATACACGAGTGACACCGATTCCGACCCCAGCAGAATCCCCCTCTGGTTTTCATCCAAATTATTTCCAAGTGGCGTAACATTCAGGGACATTCAAGCTGCTTACCCCATCTTTAAATTCACAAAATATTTCACAGCTAGCCAAAACTTTACAGGCTGAAGTTATACTTAAAGCTTTGTACAGCAGCCCAAATGCTGCAGATAACTCTTGGATGGACGAAAGTCCAGGGCTATCAAAATAACCAGCACAGGTGTGCATAATCTTCCAAAGCAGTTTACACTCCAAAGCTGAGATTATCACCTTTGGGAAGAGATGAAAGAGAGAGGAGCACTTTTGTACCTAGCAAAAGGAACTCGCGTCAGAAGGCACATTTAAAAGTGGTTCTTGCACACAGCCAGATGCCCAAGCAATCCCTTGCTCCTGCCTCGTTTCCTGGTGGTGGGACAGGCAGAACAGAGCCCCCCAGTAGGCAGTACTGTGGGAGCCACTGCTTTGCAGAGATGCACCTAGCCCCTTCAAGGGTGCAGGAGTTGGCACCCCAGCAGACTCCCCTGGGCCCCGCCGGCAGTTTGCCCTCTGCAAAGCGCTTCTGAGGAATTGCCAATGGCGCAGTAGCAATAACTTGTGGCTTTGCTAGCTCCAGCGCAGCCCAGCTCCCACGCTTCACAGAAAGGGAGAGTCCGGGGGAATCTTACCGAGTGGGGAGGTTCGTGGCATGTCAGACCAGGGGCATGCATGAAAAATAAAGGACCGGCTCTTGCAAAGTTCAGCACGGTCCATGGGATTGGGGAATCTCCCCCCAGCTCTCTCCTGGCCTTAACCCTTGCCAGAGGTGGCAAGAAGAGCCGCGGGCTCCGTTTGTTTACGAGACACGGAGGGATTGCACGCGGGGATTTACAGGATGAGCTTTTCCCCTTTGCGGCCTCTGCTCCCTCGGGGCACGGCGCGTCCTGGTGAGCCCAGGCCATATCCTCCAGCGCGCTGGACACAGGGCCCAGGTCCAAGTCAGCTGAGGCAGAGGCTTGCCGAAGGAAACAAGGCCAAGTCGGGACAGGCCACAGCGGACGCAAAGCCGACCCAGCACAGACCACGGAGCTGACTGAAACCCCCGCGCCGTGCCCAGCCCGAGAGCGGAGCATCCCCTCGGCACCAAGACAGGAAAGTGGGCACTTCCTTCCCGCCACCGTCCTCCGGCTTCCTTCAGGCTGCCCTGACAAAAAAGAAAAGCTTCGCTTATCCTCGAGACGACGCTGTTCAGAGTGGGAGTGCAAGTCCCTCAGGATCTCAGCGCTCTGGGTGGGCCCTTTCCCACTGAGACCCACCAACCTCATTTCACCCTGCCCCTAACCCGACAGCGCGGTGGTGACTGGGTTAATGACCGTGGGTTTCGTTCCAGTGCGCAGAGCTCCGCGCCGAGCTGGAGGCCCTGGGTGACGAGTACCGCTCCTGCCTGACCAAATTACATCAATGCCGGGACGAGCTCAATCAGCTCCAGGGAAGACCATCAAAAGTAGGAGTGTGCCTGCTATTGCCTGCCGCAAATAAGGCTGAGCAGTTCGAGGCTTTTGCAGACTGCCAGCAGGAGATGGGTGCTGGGGAAAGTGGTTTTTCACGTGCTGGGACGCAAGGGGAAAGGTTGTTTGTATTTGTGCCTAGACCAGGGATAAAATGACCATTTTCCCGGGCTCCTGATTCACTGACACCACTCGCTCCTCTCTTACAGAGACAATGTGGCCTCTGGATTCCAGTCCTCATGGTGGTGATAGCAGCAGCTGTGGCAGCTTTCCTAGCCAACGTTATGCCCCCAGCATACATGCCAACTACCTCAGCTCCATAACTGACTAAGATCATGAGTTTTCACTATCATGTGCAAAAAAACAAAATTGCTATTTTTTTATATAGACACAGTAAGTATTTGAGGGATTTTTCCCCTCCATTTTGAGCTGGTCTCACTCTGAACTCCTCGTGATCTAATAAATGCTGTGAGATCATTCTCATCGCTCCCGTTTTTATTTGTTTTTAATTAAAGCTTACAGTGCTGAAGGTTTTGGGTCTGCTTTCCTAATGTCAAAATGCTACACTGCAAGGCACCCACACCTGCTACTCTACCCATAGGGCACGGGCACAGGCTTATCAGTTACCTGGAAGTTACCGAAGACAGGGATTTACAGCCTGTCAGTGACTCTCTGTACACGAACGTGCCCGGGAGCAGGTCCCAAGTGAAAGCTCAGTGAAAGAAAGGGGTGAGCTGCTATATACATTAGCTTGTATTCACTGTACGGTAAGGGCACAGGGCATTTGTGACAGAGCACTTGACCGGCTATAAGTCTGCATCCTCATTTAATTTACAGTAATGGGTTTTGTGGGCCCATGCCCATTAGGAGAAAAGCAGCTCGCTAGAAAACACAAAATACCTAGTGCACTAGAGGGAAGGAAATCCATACTTCCACGTAAGTAGGCACGCACTTTTGCAGGCCCTTCTGATTGTACCTTAGTGAGTCCTGCGGGATCTTTCTCTCCACCCTCTTTCCAATCCAGGCTACAAGGCACTAATTTGCTTATAAAAAAAAAAAAAAAAGCTGGGGTAGAACAACTGAAAAAAAGATGGGGGATGTTAAACCAGCTGCCTGAACAGGAAGGAAACACCCCCAACAATTGCATATACAGGCTCTACTGTATTTTAGAAATGTGCTGAACAAACTTACAAAAGGCCACCAAAAAATCTTCTTTATCTGGACACTTGCCTCAGTACTTCTACTGGAGTGCCTCCACCAGCTCCTATTATTTCACTCGTCAAGTTCAAGTTTCCCATCAGCCTGTTTCACAGGTCTCACTTACCCAATCCCACCTCATCCCCTTTGCTCCTGAGTGTGTAGGGGGCAGGTCAATGGACATACTCGCATGCTCTTGCTGTGTAGCATTCATAATGCATTATTAAATCCCCGTACCAGCTGAGCTCTTTTGCTTTCAGAGCAGCGTCTCTTTGATGCAGACATAGATTTGCACTATTATTAGGAAGTAGAGGACTCCAGGTCCCAGAGGGCAAAACATTTTATTTCATATTTATAGCAAACTTCATATTTGAAGCACCATGGAATTATAGAAATTTATTTGTCTTGAATATTCTTGACTGGCCAGTATTATCCTGGCTTTGCAGACTGAGACCCACCAAGTGGAACTAGTGGAAAACCTAGAACAAGTCAGGGTTTCCACGTTCTTATTCTTCCAGGCAGACCACCACTGGGAGCAAGTGCAGAGCATCAAGGGAGCTAGAATAGGGAATGGGACCAACTTCAGTTGCACTTGGGAGAGGCTGCCAAGTTGAGCAGCTTACCATTCAGATCTGCTGTGTGGGGACAGACTGTGACAGCTGTGGGTACTTAAATTCAGGCGTGCATTCCTAGGAAAGGGAAAAAACTTAAGCCACAAGCGATAAGGGGAAGTAGAGGATCAGCAGGTTAGCACACTCCCCTTACCACTGCCCGTATTTTGAGCCTCTGTTTCGGCCAAGCCCGTGGTAAGGTGTTCTGGGCTTTAGGGCTGAACCGCAGGGACCTGGTATCCCCTACCCATCCCTCCAAACTGAGGGATAACGAACGTCACTGTGTTTACAGAGCAACAGCAGCCAGGGAAACCACCTCTGTTGAAACTAAGACATTCACAAAGTCACTCTGTGAGCTGAACAGATCTTTCATACGTCCACACCATAAGTCCAGCTCCTCCTTCATAGCAGGATACAGGTTCTCTGGGACACTGAAGGAATAAATGTGGACTCTGAGATCCTTACTTATCCGAGGGCAAGAGGCCTGGACAGTGAAAACTCTCAGTGGAGTCAGAGACAAACAGTTTTCAAATCCCTTCTCTGCATTAAAGACATAGGAAGCAGGGTAGCCCAGGAGGACACCGAACACGGTGCACAGATTCCAATCAGCAGAGAAGATCTGACTGGTGGAGACCGGCTGGGATGCGACTCTCTCCACTGCTTTGACATGAGCCAGTAGATCAGAAACGTGGCCTTTTAGAGAGTCCACTTGTTCTGGCTCACAAAGTCGGGGGCATTCCCTAGACGCAGAGACATCAACGAGGAGGACTTTGCTCCTGAGCAGCAGCGACTCCAAATGCAGCACCGTCTTCTCCAGGTTGAGAATCAAAATATTGTCTGCAATGCTGAGGAGGTGCAGCGGATGCCTCGTCAGGCCGATGTCCTGGACCTGCCGCAAGTAGTCCCGGACCTGCTCGACTCCGACTGCATTATAATCGTACAGGAAAGCAGGCTTCAGTCCAGAAGCTACAGCTAAGATCTCCCCAGCCAGGTGCAAACACCCAGCAGGAGATAAACCTTTCTTCTTCCCTCTTCTAAGGTTTTGCTGAGCTGCAGCAATTAGTAACGGAGGGGACAGTGTTCCCATAGCACGGGCTTGGCTGCTCCGGGGTGAAATTTGGCTTTCCTTTCCCCATCAGCTGTTCTGCAGCTCTAGTCACCTCCTGCAAAACACCAAAACAAGCAGCAAGACTACTGGAAAAGAGACTCGAGGGTTTTCTTAGCTTCAAAGTTGTATTTAAGTGTACAGCATTCACTCCTAAAAAAGTTGTTACATGCATGCATGCAAGACCACGCACCTAGCACAACTCTCCAACACCCCCCAGCTCACAGAACAGACCCCACATCCACACACAACCCTATCCTGGCAGCCACGCCACCCCTTTGGTGTTCAGGGGGCGCTGGCACGGGCCTTAATGCACGGTTGCAGTTTAGAAACCTAACAGGCTTGGAGGAAAAGCCCAAGTCAATAAAACATCGCCCCTGCAAGCTGAGAGCATCCTCCAGGAGCTGCACATCAGCTGCTTGTCTCTCTTCCTTATTCCCAGCTGGCAAAGCAGAGAAGAGGGGGGATAAGAGGAGGAGCAAAGGGTTGTTACCTCTTTATCTTCCTCTCCAAAAAATAAAAAAATTTTTAAAAAAATCAATCCCCCAAGGGGAGTATCAGGCAGCAGCAGCCAGCTCCCCCGCCCCAGGCAGCAGGGACCCGGCCCTGCCCCACCCTGCAGGCAGCCAGCACCAGGGAAGGGGCTCGCTTTGCCGCCCACGCGTGCAAGCCCACGCCGGCGCGTGCAAGGGGCAGCACACCCGAGTGCAGCCCGGCTGGCGCGGGAGCAGCTGCATCGCCCCCGGGTTCCGCTTCCCCTCCCGCCCTCTCATCAGCTGATGTGGGGAGGCAGCGCTCCCCCTCCCGCTCTTAAAGGCACAAGCTGCAGCCCTGGGCATAGCCCTGCCCCTGCCTGCAAGAACCTGGGGAGCAGCAGGGTTTGCATGTGCATGTGCATGTGCATGTGCATGTGCATGTGCATGTGCATGTGCATCTGCATCTGCATCTGCATCTGCATCTGCATGTGCGGTGGCAGCAAGGGAAGCTGAGTTCGAGGTTAGGGAAGCACTGAACTGGGTTACCCATCCTTGGAGGAGGTCAAGGCATGGCTGGACAAAGGCTTGGCTGGGATGTTCTGTTTTGGGATGGTGCTGCTGGCAGCAGGGGGTTGCACTAGATGTCGGGGTCCCTTTCAACCCTTGTTGTCTAGAGGAAAACTAGAGGGCATACAGGCGTCCGGTTTCAAATCGACAGAGTAGCAGAAAACCAGAATGTCCTCTCTGATGGCCCCCATGCAGTGCTTTACTATGATACCCACTTTTTTTCCTCCTTAAAGTGGATTAAAAATGTTTAAAGAAGCACTTAAAATGTGCTGTGGCGTGTAGGGTTGGAGGCAGCTGTCATTTGTCAAGCCACCCAACCTAACAATCTCATGAGGCACGCATACAAAAATAGTAATAAAAGCACGTTAAATTTGCGAGTTGTGAATTCTGCTTGGCAGCACAAAGACCATCATTTCTTTCTGGCCAACATCTTCTGTAAAGTTCAACTTTCCTAACTGCAAACCTAGACAGAAAGGAACCAAATTACCCCCAGCGGGCCTGGTTCCTGTGTGCTGTGATCACGCGACCAAATAACACCTTTTAGAAAACAGAACTGCCAGCACGTGATGTACAGGAACGCCAGCTGTGGCACACATCCTACACGGGTCCCTCTCTCTCGCACACATCTATCATTGCATCATAATCTGACATCCAGCACGTACTCTTCAGTAGCCACGGACAATCGGATGCACGCCGCAACGCAACGCTCACCTAAAGCAGCTAAGTAAAGGGAGAACAGGTAATAGGTAGAGAGCAACTTCCCTTAGAAAAAGAGGCTAAGTATTTGGGCATGGAGCACGACTGCAGTTAGGTAGCGAACTAACTTTTTATTACTAACTGCCTGAAGCACACTGCATCTTTCTCCCTTTCAGATAGAGACGTTTATAGTACTGACTCCTGTGAAACACTGGCTTAAAAGACCTCATATAGCAACACTAAAATGTCATGACGATGGCCCAGATTTTAGCCTTACACTCTTCAGAACTGCATTACACTAACGATTGTAATATTCAGCTTTGAGTTTTAATTTTGAGTTTAATGTTGACTAATTGTTTGGGTTCAAAGAAACAGCGTCACTTAGTATAAAACGTGATAGTAAACAAAGAAAGCACCAGCCAGCCACTAGCAGCTAGAGAACAATAAAAAATAATGAGTTTTTTCTCTCTCATTTTATTTCTCAAAGCAGTTTAATGGAAAGTAGAAAATCGTTTGACAGACGCTTAAGAGAATTAAAATTGCTTACATCGATCTAGTATTTATACACAGCCTGTCAGTATAGGAGTTTTAATGAGAGACAGTAACTAAAGATGCTGCGCCTAAAGCTTTTCAATTTAGACTTCCAAAAAGTGAATTCCATCTAGTGTTGAAATCTGGCCATCTGCATACAGGATTTTCACAGGTTTCATTTTAATGCAGGCAAGGCACAAATTAAGATTATCCTTTGATATGTACAGATAAGAAACTGGGGAGTAAGGCAGATATAAGCCGGAGACCAAACGTGTCATTGCGCTGGGAGCGGTTGAGTAATCTGCATATTTGGGCCTGGCATGGGCCAGGTATCTTGGTGGGTCTGCAGGAGGCGGTACAGCTGCTTCAAATGGGCAACGATGTTGTCTTTAATATCCGGCGTGGAGATCTGAAGCCGCACGCTGCCACTGTCGAAGGAACGTGTGAAGTCGCCTGAAAACATTTCATAAATCATCCGAGCTACAACTGGAATGACCTGTTCAGAAAAGAAACCTTGGTTATTTCAGCCTAATTAGGACGATAACCCAAGCAGCACAGTAAATTTGCAAAGTCCTCAAATACATTGGGAATCTCCCGTATTGGAGAAGTGATCTGCAGAACAATTTCACTAAACGCCAAGCTGTGGTTTATACACTGAAGCATCCCACATCAGTGAAAGCTGATTTCATCCCACTTGGATTTCAAAGCCAAAAAATCTCTGCTGATTTCAGTTCAGGTTTCTCTGCTATCGAATGTGCTGAAACGGAGAAAAACCTGCTGAAGCAAAAAAGCCTCCACTGGATTCAGCTGCTCGTTCCACACGTGCCCTGGCACATCTGTGCAAGGCAGTAGCTCTTACCTGCACCACAATCAGCTTTCTGTCTCTAGGTTTTCCATCAGGCCACTCTTCCCCAAAACAGAAGTAGATCTCAAAGGGGGGCTGCTTTTCCATCTGTCCTTTCTGATGAGCAATCAGTTCTAAGAAGAAAGGTAATGTGGTAAATGTGGGCATTATATTTCCAATTGGGTATTCAGCATACCCTAGCTCAGTATCTCCACCCCATGTATTCCAGAGCCAATCTACCTCCAGCAGCTGATTGCACTTCTTTTTTCCTACCCACACGCAAAAGCTGTACTAGCTACCGATACATATCAATGAGATGAACAAGGAACCTTTTATTCGGCAGATAATCTCTTTGCCTTTTTCTTCTCATCCTGTAACTGAGCCAAAAATCCACTGAGGTCAATGGAAAGGCTCCCATTTACTTCAGATGAGCCTAGAAATGGGTGCTACATGTACAGAACATCACCAAAGCGAGGAGGAAGAGTACCAGTCACAAACCCCAGTCTCGATTTTCCAGGCTAAGTGCTGGCCAAGGGGCAGAGCCAGTAATCAAGGTGGTCGCTCGGCATTAAAAAAGGTACCTACCACTTAGAAATGTTTCCAGACAGAAGAGCTTGACTTTCTTTTGCCTCTCAATCAGGTTTGGTGTGGTGGACGAAGGGGCACATGGTCCAGACCAGTACACCTTGCACTGGCATAGCCGGATGGCATAGATGGCATGGCCACTGACCTCCAGAATCAGTCCCCTGTCCATGACATCTAGCAGCCGACTTGTGAAAATCTTTTGATTTTCATTGGTGATTTGTTCTGTTCCTGGAAACTTTACTTGCTCCAGACTAATAGGTCCAAACAGCTCTTCCTGGTCTGGCATAGGACCCAATTCTCCGTAGAACAGCCTGCATCCCTGGGGATTGCTGACAGTTGTGGTTGCCCCGGTATCTTTTCCTCGATATTCAAACTTTATTTCTAGATCTGTCACTAAGAGAGAAAATGGTTAGAATGGCTTTCTTGGTGTTTAAAGACCCCTGCAGGGAGACGCTAGTGTAGGAAGAACAGTGCAATACAAGAGTTGCAGAAGTCCAGTTTAAAGTCCTGTATGCTGAAGTGCGTGACGTCAAGTGTGGTAGAAAACAACAAACAAGCCACTTCTTTTCCAATTCCAGTGACAGATGCCCCATAAATGCATATACATACGTACTGGGGAGAGAGCTAATCCAGAGCTCAGGAGAGCTGAAGAAGTCATGCTGCAGAGTACTTGGGGGCATCTCCATATCTACCGGTTCATTCTTGGACCACGCCGCTTCAGTGCTGCAATTTTCTACGCTGGCTGGAGCCATCGGGGAATCTACAGAGAAGAACCAGGCAAACTGAGTGTATTTTAAAAACTCACACCTTTCTTAATTGGCTCAGTCGTTAGTGCATGTTTATTATCAATGGGGCAGCGTAATCTGCACATTCTGGCATGCAGCTAGCTAGAAAGAATTTTGCCATTAGTTTTCCATACTGTCCAATATAGGCACACACAAAAAATATCTGTTCTCATTTTTTTATTCTACAGTTACCCTGTTAAATGCAGCGGCTCCTGGTAAGACCAAAGTTGGTGTCAAATCACAGATCCACAGACCATGTGAAATATGAACAGGATCCCTTCCCCCTCCAAACAACACCAGAATTGTTGGTTTTGAGCCACACCGAATATTGCCAAAGAACAACAGGGGAGTTCAGTACGTAGATCCATTTGGGCTTCAGCTGTCCAATATCAGCAAAAGATGTGTCAACAGGCTGGCTATCAGGCACCTCTCTGCAGAGAACTGGACTAAACAAACTCGATGCGCACAAATTTAGATAGCCCCATTCAACGGTAGCCTTCAGTGTGCATTCTGCAAGCACTACAGGAAGAGGTAGTAAAATGTACTGATTTGAGCTGTGGCTAACACTTTAAATGTCTTTATTTGAATAAGTGTTAGCAACGTTTGAAAAACAAATGGAAAAGCAGTTCAGGTCATGGGTTAGCGTACCGGCAGGGTAGAGCTCCATTGCATCTCGTATCTAACCAGCTTGCCTAGAGAGCTTTAAACCTCAGTCTCACCCCTAGCAAACTGCTACACAAGAATATTTAAATGCTGAGACAACACTACTGTTTAAACTTGTTAAGCCATAACCTAGGTGAACAAAATATAGCCGTCTGAATAAAAGATGGCTCCATTATTATATTTTAGGCTGACATTTAAAACAGGGGATTCTTTGACTGACTTTTATACAACAGGCAGTTATCATTTCAATAAAGCTTATTTAGGGGAATCTAATTTACTATAGCTATAGGAGACAAAATTATCTGTCCATGCGGGAACAGCATTGCTGCTTTAATAAATTTCTGAAAGAAGCCAGGGGTTAAGGATAAGGTCACCTGGAAACAATTAAGGAATTTTAGTTCATCAAGACTGTGGTACAACCCAAACCTGTTGATTACACGCAGGCTGATTTATAAGTCAATGCCATCATGGATACATCACATCCTATGGTACTGACCATTAATATTAAGAAACGGAAAAGTGTCCTGTATGGGGACATGTTGAGATGGGTTTAATTCTTCTTCTTCCTCATCATCAAGGTCATTATCTTTCTCATCCCAAGGAGCAGAGCCAGTGGACCCTAGAGGGAAGCAGGCATTGAAAGCACACTGAACTGTTTGGACACTGAAAAAAGGAAGATACAAGACACAGCAGATGCAAGAGATCTCCTTCTCATAAGGAATTTAGTTAAAGCTTAAATTTCAAGGTACTGGGCAAAAGTCATTCCTAGAGCAACTCCACAGTGTCAACTTTTCCTAATTTAAACACATTTGTTTTTCTAATTCACTGTGTTCCGCTTATCCGAAATGTTTTCAGGGTTCGGCATTAAATGGGGAAGCCACCTTCCAACTATCAGGACACACAAATAAATTCCCAATTGTTTCTGGATTGTGAATGTTTTTGGTTCTGTTCACAGCTTTCGCCCTGGTAGAACAATACCCGAACTGAGCGATGAGTCCACAATGAAACACGGGAAGCTACTAAAATAGTGGATGGCATCCGTTTTGAACAACCTGCGGGGCTAAGAGCACGTGTCCTCTGGTGGGAAACTGCAGTACGTTCACTGCAAAAACCCACTGTTTACATGCTACGATATCAAATACTAATTTACGAGCAGAAAGGAAGTTTGACACGCAGCTACACAAACTACTTAAGCTTGATTTCAGAGGTAGGAGGCAGGCGGAGAGAAGGCTTGCCAAGGACAGTGCAGCATTTAACAAACATCATTCGAAATAATGAGCTAACTCCATTACTACCCATAATGCCACAGCTAAATGTGGGCTTTAAATCTTTTAATTGGCTTAGTCAAAGAGCCTCCACTTGACCTTAAAGTTTTAAACTGTTTGCAGAGGTAGCTTAGTTGTTAATATGCGTCGGAGAAAACAGGCACATGCACTGGACTGATACCTACTTAGTAACCAGCACTGTGTCACCAAGCCCTCACCTGGATTAATGATTGATCCCTGGGACTGCGGGATATCGCACACTTCGTAAATTTTAATAGGGTTCATGGGCACCTCTTTGGTTCCATCGTACATCAAGTTGAATTCCCGGCTTTTGTTGAGAGCACATCGGAG